CCCCAAAACCCCAAAACCCCGCCATTAAATATAGCGCAGCTTTTAAAGGTTAATTAGTCAAATAAAATCAATATTTAAATATAATTTTGTGATAGAAAAGAGAGATGAATAATTAGAGAGACTCATCTTAAATCAATAAGCCGTAACAAAGAAATAATGACAATCAAAATAGAAATAAAGACACTCCTGATGCTGATAAGAGGGATGATTAGTTTACAGTTATTGATCCCAGAGTTAATGGAAGTCTAAGAGTCACCATTTAAAGTTCATTAATTTGGCAATCAAGAGCTGGTTCTTTTAGAAGGGCAAATTAAGAAGAAAAAGTAAAGTAATATAGCTGCTGCATGTGCAATCAACTAGTAAATATAAGAAAAGCTAAAAGATGCTTATAATGCAAGAAAGTACTTTGCTTGGCCCATTTCAATGAGTTTACTAGTTCTGATAGTGCTATTGAGCAGTCCTGCCCAACCTGCTTTAACGGAGAGATGCTTCCTATCTTGGATTTGGATACTGAGACATAAAATTTAAACGATGGTCTTAGTTTTAAATGCAATTTGAAGTGCAATAGGATAATGAATTATTCCTAACTTCTTGATAAGAACTTTCATTCTGATTGCCCCAATGTAAAGATTCAGTGCAAACTTTGTCAAAGCGTAATGAAGCAAAACTAGAAGATTTATCATAGTGTTCACTGCTTAAACCAACTTGTTTAGTGCCCACTCTGTACCGTTAGAATACCTAGAAATAGAAGAAAAATACATTTAATGAGAGAGTGCTAAAACCTGCCTCAAAAAAATGATACTGATGGACAAAACTTACTTAAAATGCTTTTGGAATAAGATAGCTACACTCAGTAGCATAGAGATGATGGATTTCTTGATTAAAATGAAGAATTCAAAGGAACAGACTTTCACAATCTAAAATTGAAAATGTAATCTCCTTACAAAAGCGTGGTCTAGTCTGTCAACAAATTAACCCCAAATTAAATGTCCAACAATAACTAGAAAAATATGGACGCCAATTCTGATCAGAAAAGCCTTAAAAGAACATCTCAAGAGATTACAAGGGATCACAATATTTGCATAGATTGTGAGATGAGAGTAACTTATAGTGAAGATAAATTATGTTAAGTCTGCTAAAACAAGAAAAGATAATGCAGGGAACCCAATAAAATTTCTGATCTAGATCAGAGAAGTAACTAGATCGGTAAAAATGATACCGATCTTGAAACAGAAAACTTTTTTCAGACTTTATAAAAAACTTAGAATGAAAAAAAGGATCAGAGGATCAAAGATTTAGAATAACAAGTGTCACAAATGAAAGAGGGCAGATTTGATATGATAAATAAAGGAAGTGAACATTCTTTGCAAATAATTGAATAAGAATAGCGCCAAAAAAGTCACGAATAGAGTCTTTAAAGTAGTTTGGAAAGATGAAATGGACCTAGAGTCAAATGTATTTTATGCTAAAATCCTGATGAAGAAGAAGAACTCACCCATTTGAGCTATTGTGTAAAGTGCGTGGAAAAACTAGCTTAAAACCAAGATGAGTGCTTATTTGTATTTCCCCTCAACGGCAATAAATGTGTTCTTAAGTGCTCAATTCAAATTGACGATGACCAAGTCCTTCAGATTGAGCAATAAGGGAATAACAATATCAACAAAGGTTAAAGAAATTAGAATATTGAAAAGAAAAATGGGGATTTAGAAACAAACTGTCATGATCGAGCTGTTGAAATTAATTAGCAAAAAAAGAGAAGTATAACTTCGAGTTCAAGTTTGTGCTCTTTAAGCGACCTATCAAGGCAAAATGATGGCAATAATGAAAAATAGAAAGCTAGTAATCCTATCCACGAGGATAGAGAAGCATTAAGTAAAGAAAATAGCAAACAACAATTGATATAGGATTCCAAATCTGATGCAAGAACAGAAAGAATGTATGTTTCTAGCAGGGATTAACCAGGTTAGAGAAAGAATTCTGGATAGGAGAAGGAAATAAGACCATTACTGCAATAGTAATAGTCAAATAATCAAAGAGTGTATCCAGGCTGGTTTTAGCCTAGTAACATAAGGGACTTACCTTTCAACAAGAACAAGTAAAATGGAAAAGTTGACAGTGGCCTATCATCTGAATCTGATGAAGATCTCATTGAAGATGATAAGAATTAAAACATGATAGTGCAATAAAAGAAATCAAATCCCTAGCAAGAAATGATATAAGCTAGGAATTATAGTTATTAGAACCCTGCAAACAATAATACTAGCAATATGGCTTCTGAATTCGGTTAATTAAATCAAAGAGCAGCAGAGAATAATCCTATTATTCGCTATGGATCAAATAATTTGAGAGCTTTTGGTGATTTATAGAATTTGAACAAAGATAAGGAAGAAAGAGAGAGATCTGCTTTTGAAGACCTAATATGATGAATTATCAATTAGTTTCTGATCAATTCTGATGAATTGTTTTTCCTCACTATTGATAGTGCCTTAAATGAGAAATTACATGTATCAAATTTTGACTTAACTCAAATTTCTTACTATTCAATCTTTAATTAAAGTATTTATATTAGATATTGCCAGTAGACCTAATCACGGGGTTTTGGGGTTTTGGGGTTTTGGGGTTTTGGGG